CCTCTATCATATCTCCTCTCAGTTGTCTCTTCTCTAAACTGAAAAGTCCCAGACTCTTCAGTCTTTCCTCATAGGGAAAGTGCTAACCCCTTAACCATCTTGGCCACCCTCCTCTGTACTTTTTCCAGCTTTGCGATGTCTTCTTTGAGATACGGTGACGAAAGCTGTACACAGTATTTCAAATGGGTCCACATTGTAGATTTATAGTAAAGGTCAAGGTTCCCTTGCTCAAAAGCCAGTCGAATCCGACTCTAGGGTTGCGGTGCTCATCTCCGTTTCAAAGCAGAAGAGCCAGCGCTGTCCGAAGATGTTTCCGTGGTCATGTGGCCGGCATGACTAAACACCAAAGCGCACGGAACCTTCCAACCGAAGTGGTACCTATTTATCTAGTTGCAATTTCTTGCTTTCGAACTGCTAGGTTGACAGGAGCTGGGGCCAGAGACGGGAGCTCACTCCGTCATGCGGCACACTCGGGTCTTGAACTGCTGAACTACTGACCTTCCACAGCCTGCAGTTCAGCGTCTTAACCACTTGAGCCACCGCAGCTCCTTGATTTATACAGGAGCATTATATCAGCCATTTTATTTTCAGTCCCATTCCTAATAATCCATAACACAGAATTTGTCTTTTTCACTGCTGCATCACACTGGGTCGGCACTTCCATTGAGCTATCCACTACAACCCCAAGATCTTTTTCCGTCTCGCTCTCAGAACATTCAGACCAAAGCTCCCTCTAGGCTGTGGAATCTTGAGAGCCAAAATTCTACTCTGTGAGCGACTGGCAATTGAAGTTGTGGAGCAAGCGATTTGGCTGTGCCATAAATTAGTTTGCTCTGGAGCCCTCCTTCCTGAGCTAAGGCAACGATGTGTGAGCTGGAGGCTAAATAATTGTGAGCTAGCTCACACTCACTCAGCTTAGAGGGAACACTAAGCCATTAGCCTATACTTGGAAGTTGGATTTTTTTGTCCCAATGTGCATCACCTTATACTTACCAAAACAGAACTTCATTTGCCAGAAAATTTTGGATGGTGGGGCATTGGGAAATACTGTGGGGCAGGGGAGCCAGGGGAAAGGAGGGGGGAGCAGTGAGCCCGCCTGCAGCCGAGGAAGAGGACTCAGCTTGGCAGTGGTGACCCGCTGTCCTGTGACCTGGGCTGGCTCAGCTGGCACAGTGAGGCTGCCACTGCCAAGTTCCTCTTCCTCTGCTGTGGGCAGGCTCGCCGCTTGTGGCTTGAGCGGCATTTAAAAGGGGGAGCCCGAGTCCTCGTCTTCATCTACTGGCTTCCTCATCTACATGAGTCAGGGGAGGGATCTCAAACTCTCTTTGTTTTGCATTTTGCAATTTTATTTCTTTTGTTTGCATTTTAAAAAGCTATTTATTTTTCAGCCCAGAAAACAGAAAATGAGACTGAAGCTTCCCTGACTGTGCCTGGGGTCGTTTTGGAACCCCCACATACAGCTTACATTTTAAAAATATTTTTTGACTTAAAAAATTTTCCCCTGCGGGGGGCAACGCTCATCCATGGGGGCAATGCCCCCCCCCAGCAGCTAAAGGCCCGAATCTGACCTACCAGATGGCAGAGTTGCAATCCTACGTACACTGCATACGATGAGATTTATTTCTTAATAAACACACCGCCTTGAGGTTTAAACCTACACATCCTAATATTTTAAGAATCGGGGGCCTTCCAAAAAAGGGCAGGTAGAGAGGGAAGACCATTAAGTTGGCTTCAAATTAGATGCAGGCCAGCCAGCCAAGCCTCAATCATGGGAATCAAAATGGCAGGCGGGGGGGGGGGGAGCTTGGCTGGAGGAAGATGTGGGAAGGGGAAATCCCATCCGTCTCCCTGCTGAGAGAGCACTCCTTCCCTCCTGACCCCAGGGGGCCCCTTACCGGCTCCTGCGCTCACAGATGCAGAAGAAGCAGGGGCGGATGAAGGCTCACTGGTGCCCTCAGCACTGACCAATCTTGGTGTCCCCCCTCCTTTCCACACTGACCCCGTCCATTTTAGTTGTTGACCTGTCTGACCAGATATACGAAGCAGGTTGCAGCAATACAAAAATGTATTCACGTGAGAACACAATATACGGTACAAACTAAGCTTTTCACCCCTTTCCCCAACTTTGTGGTGCCCCCTTTGGCCCTGGTGCCCTGAGCACGTGCTTAGTCTGCTTCATGGTTCATCCGCCCCTGATGAGAAGACTCCTAGCTGGAGTGGGTGGGGGAGGAGAGGCAGAAGCGGGCGAGGCAAGACGTCAGAGCCGCCAGCTCTCGCTGAGGAAGGAAGGATGCTTTTGCCTGCAGCAGCAGCAGCCTCACCGGCAACCCGGGAAGCCGCTTGGGGGAGCCTCTAGAAATGTCCAGTACGCAAAACACTTTGTATCCTCTCTCTCTCTCTCTCTCTCTTTTTTTGCAGAAATACCAGTCCTTTTACTGTCCTTTCCCCACCCTTTTTTTGCAAAAACAGGCCAGACATCTCCTGTGCCCACTCACACAGCTGCCTTATTATTATTTTATTTATTTATTTTATTTTTGGGATTTATATCCCGCCCTACCCATACGGCCCAGGGCAGCAAACAAGACGCCGGAAATAAAACATAAATCACATTAAAACCTCAATAAATACAGACTAAAAAGGTGCTCTACAGATCATTTTAAAAGTTCATTTTAGAAATTCATTTTAAATTCAAGACGGTCGATGTCCCACACTGGCAGCCGATGATATAAAGAAGCAGGAGCACCGAAGTAATGTTCCCCTTCTGGGCAACATCCACTCCCGCACCAGGCCGGGCAGATGGTAAATCAGGCCACGTTGATGGTATAGTGGCGGCGGCTCCTACTCGAAAGCCTGGCGGAAGAGCTCCGTCTTACAGGCCCTGCAGAACTGTACAAGGTCCCGCAGGGCCCGGGTCTCCGCCGGGAGCTCGTTCCACCAGGTAGGAGCCACCACCGAAAAAGCCCTGGCCTTGGTTTGGGCGAGCTTGATATCCCGGGGGCCTGGGACCTGAAGGAGGTCCAGGCTCCCCGATCGCAGCGCTCTTGGGGGAACATACGGGAGGAGGCGGTCCCTCAGGTAGGCTGGACCCTGGCCATTCAGGGCTTTAAAGGTGAGAACGGATGTGGTCCCTCCTCGAGAGGCCCATCAACAGCCTAGCTGCAGCATTCTGCACTAGCTGCAGCTTCCGGATTTGCAACAAAGGCAGCCCCAAATAGAGAGCGTTACAGTAGTCTAGCCTCGAGGTGACCATCGCGTGGATCACAGTGGCCAGGTCCTCGCGGCTGAGGTAGGGGACCAACTGCTGGGCCAGCCGTAGATGATAAAAGGCTGACCTCACAGTGGCTGCCACCTGGGCCTCCATTGTTAATGAAGAGTCCATTAGCACTCCTAAACTCCTAACCTCCCGCACAGGCACCAAAGGCACCCCGCCGAAGGTCGGGAGAAGGAGCCCCAACTCCCGGCCGGTCCGACACAGGCCCAGGACCTCCGTCTTTGCCGGGTTTAATTTCAACCGACTCAGCCTGAGCCAACCAGCCACGGCTTGTAACGCCTAAGAAAGGTCATAGGGACCAGAGTCTGAACGGCTGTCCAACATCAGATAGAGCAACATCTTCCTTAAGCACATATATAGCCTTCAACATGGTAATGCACGGAGAGGGGGAGTGAAAAAGCTGAGTGGTACGCAGGGGTCATTTCGTAGGAAAAGAGGTGCAGGAGCTCATTAGCGTAACTTATTTGCATATGCCACACCCCCTGACATCACCGGACGTGTGTCAGAAGGCAACACCCACCGCTCAGGTTCCACTGGACTGTTTTGGATGGCTAGCTATTGGGGTGGGGGAGGGGGAGGAACGTGCAGACCTGTCCTCGCAGAGGAGGGAGAGCTTGTACCTGAATAAAACTTGGTCTTAAAGGTGCCACTGGACTGTTTTGGACCGGGGGGCCGGGGGGAGCTCTGCAACTTACCTGGCTGCTTCTTGCTCTGACTGAGGGCTGCTGGGAGCAGGGGGCGGGGCTTGTTGCATGTGCCCGCCCCCTGGGCTCTTTACTGCCGGAGCTCTGCTCCTGTGCGCTCCTGCAGGAAATGACCCCTGGTGGTACGGGTACCTGAGCTCCGCTGGCTAGGAAAGCACTCAGAATGCCCAAAATGCTAGTATGGAGGATAACACCAAGAGGGGGCTGATGGAAGGAACCATAGAGACCATTGTGTTTTTTGCAAGATGGGGACAGGAAGAACAGCAGTAGACGGTGCCTCTTGAGGCAGGAAGAACAGTGAGGGTCTGAGGGAAAATGCCTTGAGGGTGATAGCAGCAAACAAGGAGGTTGGAGGGCCACACAGAAAGAGCTCGGGGGCCGCCGGTTAGGGACCCCTGGATTAGACGGCTGAAAAATCAAAGTATTTTCAATGTGAGCCATAAAGACGTTGGCGACAGAAGGTGCAACAGGGCTGCCCATGGCAAGACCTTGAATCTGAAAATAAAAACTGGTCAAACACTCAATGATTTTAAAATCAATTTTATTTACAAAGCTATATAAAAAATATTCTGACATAAATTTTAGTTACATCCCCCCCCTTATTTCCCTTTCTCAGCCTTTCACAACTTAAAATTCAATTTTAAATCGTCCACGATCCAGACTAAATAATTAGCTCTTTCAAGCCCCACTTGTTTCAGTGAGGGCGCTATTCACATTTTTTAATCAGTCTGTTCATAGAGATGGAATTTAAGGAATACTATGTAAACTATATGTGCTGGCTTATGGAATTTAATGAATACTATGTAAACTATATGCGCTGGCTTATGATTCAACAATTTTTAGTTAATCTTGATTCTTAAAGTGTAGAGCAGGTTCACCCAACGTGAATCCATGTAATGTCCTAAGTTTCCTATATGTTTTTTCTTGCTGGGACAAAAAAGGCTCCGTCTTTGCCAAACTGTCTTTTGTCATATTGGCAAATCATCAGTACTTATATTTTTTCAAAGGTGCATGTGATTATGCACAAACTGATTCAATACAATCAGCCCAGGAGATGCAGAGAGAACTCAAATGGTAAGAAATTACAGAATTAGTATCGTGTGAGTGTGTTAGTGCCTTGCTGGGGGAAGACCATTGATGGGTAACGTTACATTCTTCTCTCTTTAAAAAAATTGACCCCTCTTAGTTCTTTAGGCAGATATTCCTGATCGACAGGCTCCTTGAACATGGGATTATATTTATACCCTTTACCGTACCCAATGTCCTTCATGAGCCTGGTTGGCGCGTTCCTTAAGTGCAACGGAACTGGTGGAAGTGGTCCCTGATGGTTTCTTAGACACGCCTTGACATTGCTGTATGCGCTGTACACCTCTATAGACTTTGGCGCTCTGGCAAAGTAGGTCACGCACTGGGCGAGCAGAACCTGTAAGACACAAAAGAGACCAATCGCAAACGGTCTGGAGGAGACCCTGATGCTGGGAAAGATTGAAGGTCAAAGAAGACGGGGACGGCAAAGGATGAGATGGTTAGACAGTGTCATCGATGCAACTAACATGAAGTTGAGCCAACTTCAGAGGACAGCGGAAGACCGGAAGGCCTGGCGTGATCTGGTCCATGGGGTCGTGAAGAGTCGGACTCGACTGTGCGACTGAACAACAACAACAGCAGGCTGTTGGTCAGGATATAGCTCCACTTCACCCAGGGGACTGAATCTCGGCCTCGCCCCATTTAAGGTTTTTGCTACTTGAAAGTCACTCGATAGCAGCCCAGCTGGCCTTGAGCACCTGCTCCATATTATTCCACAAAGGATACAGAGTCATGTGCTACCGAGTGGTGGCGGCACACAATCGGTATCCTTTGTTTACCATTTCACCCTTACACTGTCAGTGGGCTACTGCGAAAACAGGTGAGTTGATTAGAAGCTTGTTGTCCATTTAAAATGGCAGCAGGTACAAGCTCAGAGCTAAAACATAGCCGCAGAACAGTCATGTGGTGGAGACAGTCCGTGCCATTTCAGACGGCACTTGTGAGAAGGAGAGATGTCCCATCTCTGAATGCTCCCTATGTATATAAAATACAATCCAGCAATCTGAACTGGCACAGCTGCGCTATGTGTGATCACGTGTTTCAGCTTTCAGTCGCTAATACAGAACAGCAACTACATCAGACTTGAACGTGGCCATAGAGTTATTAATAAGGAGGCTGAGATGCCTGTTATCAATCCAATCCTTCACTAGAAGAAGAAGAGAAGAAGAGATTGGATTTCTACCCCACCCTTCACTCGGAGTCTCAGAGCGGCTTACAATCTCCTTTCCCTTCCCCTCCCCACAACAGACACCCTGTGAGGGAGGTGGGGTTGAGAGAGCTCTCTCTCGAGAACTGCTCTTGAGAAAACAGCTCTGAAAGAAATTGAGGAGAAGAAGAGGAGGAGGAGGAGGAGATTGGATTTATACCCCGCCCTTCACAACCCGAAGGAGTCTCAGAGCGGCTTACAATTTCCCTTTCCCGTCCCCACAATAGACACCCTGTGAGGTAGGTGGGGCTGAGAGAGCTCTGAGAGAACTGTCCTTGAGAGAACAGCTCTAACAGAACTATGGCTTGCCCAAGGTCATCCAGCAGCTGCAAGTGGAAGAGTGGGGAATCAAACCTGGTTCTCCCAGATTAGAGTCCATGTACTTAACCACTACACCAAACTGGCTCCTAGTTTTCTGTTGCTTTTAAAGTCCAATTCAAGATAGCAATTTTGACCTTTCGAGCCACAAAGAGATCCTTCAGGATTTCCTGCTGTCGCCACAGCTACATGCTGAGGGCATCTACTCCATGATCCTCTGGGGTCAAAGCTGTGCAGCACAATTACAAGGACAGAGCATTTTTGGGGAGCAGCATCAAAGGCACACCAGCTTCCTCACTTGGGGAGGCCCACTCAGTCTCTGTCTGGTTTTGACCTAAAAGGTAAAGGTTCCCTTGCTTGAAAGCCAGTCGAATCTAGGGTTGTGGTGCTCATCTCCGTTTGAAAGCCGAAGAGCCAGCGCTGTCCGAAGACGTTTCCGTGGTCATGTGGCCGGCATGACTAAACACCGAGGAGCACGGAATGCTGTTACCTTCCCACCGAAGTGGTCCCTATTTATCTACTTGCAATTTCTTGCTTTCGAACTGCTAGGTTGGCAGGAGCTGGAACCAGAGACGGGAGTTCACTCCGTCATGCGGCACACTCGGGTCTCGAACTGCTGAACTACCGACTTTCCACAGCCTGCAGTTCAGCGTCTTAACCACTTGAGCCACCGCAGCTCAAGGTTTTGACCTATAAAGTCTTAAATCAGCCCCACAGCCAGGAAAACTTTCATGTATGTGTGGGTGCCAGGAGTGCTAATTAAAACAAAACTAAAAACAAATTTTAAATTTAATTAAAGTACTGGAGGATGCAGGCATTGCAGGCGGGCAGGGCGGAACGGCACAGGAGGATCTCATAGTGTGGTCATGTGACCCGGGCAGGCAGCTAGCACCATGTGACCCTGCCTGCCTGCTCACCTCCTTCGTCCCCGCATGCCGTCCAAGGCAGGCAGGGCAACAGGTGGTGAGCTCATCCACCCCCACGGTCAAGTACTTCTGGGGGGGGAGGAAGGCAGCCTGGTGCAGGAGCGCTGTACCCCCCCAGGCTCCCTCCCCCCCACCCAAAGGAAAGAAGGAAGGAAATCGCATCTTGGGCGGGAGCCCGAAGGGGCGTGGTTTAAAGAAGTTACTTAACATAAAAATTAAACAAGGGAAGATTAGGGTGGGGGGATAGCAGGTGGGATGGGGGTCCCTCCTGCTGCTCCCCCCGCTGGCTTCGGCCCTGCCCTAAATGGCCTGGAGCAACAGGCTTCTGGTCAGTGTTCCCTCTAAGCTGAGTTAGTGTGAGCTAGCTCACAGTTTTTTAGCCTCCAGCGCACATATTTTTCTCTTAGCTTAGGAAGGAGGGCTCCAGAGCAAACTAATTTATGCAGTAGCAAAACTACATGCTCACAACTTTAATGCCAGTAGCTCACAAAGTTGAATTTTTGCTCACAAGACTCCACAGCTTAGAGGGAACATTGCTTCTGGTACTAGTTCACTTTTGCTTTCTTGCAGCACCATCCAAAGGAGAGTTAAGCCTTTCTAAGTCCATTGATTTCGACAGGCGTAGAAGAGTGTAACTCTGTTCATGATTGCGCAGTTGTTGTCCTCAGCTTGCTCTCTTTTGTAACATATAGGATGCCTTCGTTAACTTCTCCACTGGCCCCTGAAATGTGCTTTAGTTAAGTTGGTTTGGATGATGTTGATTATTATTATTATTATTATTATTATTATTATTATTATTATTATTCCTGACATCACCGGAAGTGTGTCATAAGGCCACACACCCCATCCCCAACGGTCCCGGCCGCCGCCGGCCTTGCAGCTCCACTGCCGAGCCCCATGAGGGGCCCGGCGGTGGACCTGCAAAGCCGGCGGGAGTGCAAGGAAGCCCCACGAAGGCCCTCCCTGGCCCCAGGCAGGCAGGGGTGGGGAGAGGCAGGGAGGAAGCAACTTACCCTCCCTCTTCTCCTGCCTCCTCCTGGCTGAATGAGGGCCAGAAGTGGGGCGGCCGGAAGCAGGGGGCGGGGCTTCGTCATGTGCCCCGCCCCCCGTACCTCACCCGGGGGAACTGCGATCCCCCCCGAAATGAACTCTGGGAATGAATACTCCAAACATACCTTCAGGTGGGTAGATGTATTGGTCTGAAGCGGCAGAACAAAGTTTGAATCCAGTGGCACCTTTAAGACCAACAAGTTTTATTCAGGGTATAAGCTTTCATGTGCATGCGCACTCCGTCAGATGCAACGAAATGGAAATTACCAATCCATACATATAGGTAGAGGGTGAGCAGTAAATTAGCACCCAGCATCATGAAGATGTTTAACAGATTCAAGGATCAAACAGGAACAACAAGCCTTAGTTTATATGGTTACCATTTGTTTGGGTTTAATTCCAGGGGGAAACATAGTTTATTATTATTATTATTATTATTATTATTATTATTATTATTATTATTATTATTATTATTATTATTATTATTATAGATTATTACTTTAAATAGGTTTTCTGTTTTACTGTTGTGAGCTTCTTTGGGTGATCAGGAAACCAAAAGAGTGTGATACCCATTTTTTAAGAATAAAAGAAATATAATTACACCAGATAATAAAACTTCTTACTGTAGGTCAAGAAGAGATTGGGAGGAAGTCAACAGGAAGAACTGACTCCGTAAGGCGCAGTACAAGGAAACAAGACCGACAAGGGAAAAGTAAAATGTAGACAATTACAGAAATGATTCGGTAACTACCTCACATTCTGGCATTCCAATGAAGTGGCAGCCTTGGTAAGTAGCCACCGCTTGCGTTAAGGCCAAAGGATCAGCCAGTCCTACAACAAAAAAGTAAAAGGGTACACTGAAATCAGGAATGAACAGGGGTCGTTTCGTAGAAAAAGAGCTAGGGGAACTCATTAGCATAACTCATTAGGATATGCCACACCCCCTGACATCACCGGAAGTGTGTCATAAGGCCACATCCCCTGACATCACCGGAAGTGTGTCATAAGGCCACACACCCCATCCCCAACGGTCCCGGCCGCCGCCGGCCTTGCAGCTCCACTGCCGAGCCCCATGAGGGGCCCGGCGGTGGACCTGCAAAGCCGGCGGGAGTGCAAGGAAGCCCCACGAAGGCCCTCCCTGGCCCCAGGCAGGCAGGGGTGGGGAGAGGCAGGGAGGAAGCAACTTACCCTCCCTCTTCTCCTGCCTCCTCCTGGCTGAATGAGGGCCAATAGCAAGGGAATGTTAAGATGTTATCAGAAATACATCTTCATGGCACTAGTATATATAAATCTCAGAAACTGTTGATATTGGTTACTTGCATTCTTTGACATGGAATACTAGTTTTCTTGACAAGATCATGAATAAAGGAGTAAAGCTTGATTGTTCCTTGGCACATTAGTAAAAATTAATTTAGTCAAGTTTAACCAATGGATGCTTCAAGATTTTGGTGCTTTTACATCATAGTTCATTTTCACCCAGCATACACAGCTGTACAAAGGTCAGACAGACTTCTGAATTTACTCTGAAGTGCAGATTTCCCCAAATTAGTGAGAGCAATGCACATAGTAACGTTGGTATTTAATTGGGTTGCACACTGCACTTAACATAAAAAGCCTAAAGAAGCTTGATTCAGGTGGGTAGCCATGTTGATCTGAAGCAACAGAACAAAATTCGAGTTCAGTGCCACCTTTGAGACCAATGAAGTTTTATTCAAGGTATAATCTTTCCCAGAATTAAATCCAAACAAATGGTGACCATATAAACTAAGCTTGTTATTCCTCTTTGGTCCTTGTATCTGTTAAAACAACTTTTATGTTGTATGCTAATTTGCTGCTCAATCTCTATCTATATGTATGGACTGGTAACTTCCATTTCAATGTATCTGAAAGAGTGTGCGTGCACACAAAAACTTATACTTTGAATAAAACTCGTCTGTCTTAAAGGTGTCAAGCATACCTCTAAGTGTACCTGTTTCAGATTGCAAACAAAATCTTTTAAACCATTCAAGCACTAAACAAACTGCTTGCAATGGACCTGATAATACTGCTAGTCGACAGTGTTGCACTGAAGTGGGGTGTCCAAAATCTTGCCCGATTACAGAGGCCCACTCAGCTACGGCTAAAGAATGTTGATTATGGCATCATCAAAAGACACCAGTCCATAACTCTGTGTGAAGAGCATGGAATGTCCTTAAGCAGCTGGAGTATATAAAAAGCTAGACAACAGGTTCTGCTCGGAGCAGTAATGCCACTATTGCTATTGCGAGGGTGCCCTGACATGGCACTGTGCTGGCCCGGAAGGCCAATGGCCAGTCTACATAACACAGAAGTACACAGGATCAGGTCGTAAACCACCTTATTCAAGAATGAAAACAGCTTTGCAAGGTAAAAGTTTCATTTCCCTGGTAAATTCTGGTGTCTTGAAGACTGCCAAGTCAACCATCTGAATACCAGTTCCACAAGCGGTTCAACGTTTGAAACCTTTTTAGTTTGTCTAGAAAAAAAACAGAGTGGTGTGTTTAACGTGCAAACCAGGAGAGGACCAAAATAATTTTAAGGGCAGTTTTTTTTGTCGAGCGCAAATAAAATTTCGTGGCTGAATCACAAGTAAGCTCACCCCGTGTTTCTGAGGACCAACTATCCATTCACAGTGACAGCCATTAAAAAGGCAGATAGCTATTGTGGGTTTAGCAAACATGGCCACAAAGCGTCCTCCGTTTAGTCTCACGTTGAAGTGATCCACAGCGGTACTAAATCCAAAACTCAGTGGGCCATTCTGTCATTACTTGAGAGCGATCAATAGACAGTGTGCAAAAGAGAGAAACATCTGAAGGAACAAATGTGTTACCCGCTGAGGAAAAGCTTATCCTAATCGCCACAAGACTCTTTGGTCTTGTTTTAATGTTGAAAACTCTTTAAAAGCAGCATATTTTGTAGCCTTATTTAGATACAGAACAAATCGTAGCACCGATCTCTTGAGTGACTCACCTATATCTTCACTCGCAAACCTCACCAGTCTTCTGGCCACATATAGAGGGTCCTCCCCACCTTCAAGCATTCGGGCAAGCCAGTAAAGAGAAGCGTTTTCATCTGAGCCTCGCATAGATTTATGGAGGGCGGAAATGCAGTTATAATGTTCTTCACCTATTTAGTAACAGAGGAAAAAGAACCAAAATGTGGAATTTTGCTGTCAGAGGATGTAGTGATGGCCACAGGAATAAAGAGCTTTAAAAAGCTTTAGATAGATTCATGGAGAATAGGTCTGTCAATGGTTACTAGCCATGGTGACTGAGGGGAACCCTCCACATTCAGAGGCACTAATCCTCTGAATTTCAGAGCCAGGAGGCAACACCAGGGGAAGGCCTTGGCCTCTATGCTCTGTCGTTGGCCATCTAGAGGAACTCGGCTGTTTCCATTACAAAAAAGAAAGTTTCATTTTATACATAACATTCTTTGGAGTATATATTATACAATTTTCCCCATCCATTTATTTACTTTATTCCACCTTTTCATAAAAACATTATCATCTCTCCCTGCTAGCGTCAAGTTAAGTCTGTCCATTTCTACTACTTCTAGGATTTTTTCAATTATCTCTTCTTTTTTAGGTATTGCATCCATTTTCCATTTTTTTGCTACTAGGATTCTCGCTACCGTGAGAATATAAAGTATAACCTCGCGATCGTCCCTTTTAATTCCTTCTGGTATCATATTTAGGAGAAACACTTCTGGCGTATTCTGGACTTCTATTTCTGTTATCTCTTTTATCAGATTTTTAACATTTTTCCAAAATGTACTTATTTTTTCACACCTCCACCATATATGGTAAAATGTTCCTATATTCTTTTTACATCTCCAGCATGTTCCCGAAATATCTTTATAGCATTTAGCTAATTTGTCTGGTGTCCAGTGCCATCTATAAAATAATATTTTTTTTAAAAAAAAAGGGGGGGGAAAGGAAAAAAGACTCTCCCTGGCCTGATCCAGCAGGGCTCTTTTTGTGTTCTCAAGTATCAGCTGCAGCTCTCTGAATCACCTAATGCAACTATCTAGCAGTGCATCAAACACCAGGAGTACTAAATGTCTATCTCGTGTATGGAATTAATCGCTCTACAGCGTGGTGGTGATCACTCTACATTAAAGACAGCAGGGGTCATTTCGTAGAAAAAGAGGTGCAGGAGCTCATTAGCATAACTCATTAGCATAAATTATTTGCATATGCCACCCCCCCTGACATCACCGGAAGTGTGTCAGAAGGCAACACCCACCACTCAGGCTCCACTGGACTGGTTTGGCTTGCTATTTATTTATTTATTTATTTATACCTTCGATTTCTACCCTGCTCCAACCCCGAAGGGTCTCTAAGCGGCTTACAAGTTCCGAATTTATCCCTAGCTAAGGCCACATGTCTACAGGGGTTGGGGCTGCCTACCGACACCCAGGTGGCAGGGCTCGCTGTTTTTTCTTGGTTGTTCTCCCCGGGCGGTCTTTCGGGTGACTCAGTGCTCGGTTCCTGGTGTGGTCGTTCGGGGGGGGGACGTGCAGATCTGTCCTCAAAGAGGAGGGAAAGCTTGTACCTGAAGGTGGACTGGGGGGGGGGCTCTGTAACAAACCTGGCTGCTTCTTGCTCTGACACAGGGCTGCTGGGAGCAGGGGGCGGGGCTTGTTGCATGTGCCCACCTCCTGGGCTCCTTACTGCCAGAGCTCCGCTCCTGTGCGCTCCTGCAGGATATGACCCCTGAAAGGCAGTATACCTCTAGCATTGTGCAGACAACCCATCCACATGTTGACTCACTGCAGGGGAAGGGAGAGCGGGTATGAGCACACAGCCCAGCCCCCCTCCCACATGATCACCAAGTCATCTGCACATGCAAGCGCATGGAGTAACTGCCCACAGGCACGACCCCTCCCTGTGCTCAACGATGCTGTTTTATGAAATCTGCTCACCATGGGGAGGGCTGGGGTTGTCAGCTCTGAATTGGGAAACATCTGGAGGTTTGGGGAGTGGAGCCTCAGGAGAGCAGGGTTAGGGGCATAATGCCATAGAGTCCACCTTCCAAAGCCGCCATTTTCTCTCCAGGTGAGCTGATCTTTGCCGCCGGGAAATCAGTTGTAATAGCGGGCCATCTCCAGCTACCACCTGGAGGTTGGCGACCCCAGGGAGGGCGAGTATGCACAGGCACTTCCTCCACGTGTTCATACTGTGAGAAGTACCGCCCAACCGTGATTCGGCTCCTGAAGGAGCCGTTTC